TTCCAGTCTTCTCTCATACTCTTTATATAGGATATCCCAAGGAGCCCTAAACAGTACAATTAGAGAGAATATTCAGTAGAATATTCCCTTTGAAGATTTCAAAGTAAAACTAGCCGTTACTTCTATCTGTACTGCTCGACCTCGGCCTTATTGTTAATCACTGCTCGACCTCGATCTTGTTGATGATCACTGCTCACCTCGGCCTTGTTGATGATCACTGCTAAACCTCAGCCTTGTTGATGATCACTACTCGACCTCGGCCTTAGTGATGATCACTGCTCGACCTCGGCCTTGTTGATGATCATTGTTCGACCTCGACCTTAGTGATCACTGCTCGACCTCGGCCAGACAACTTAATTCGATTCACAGGTTACTCATGACAATTGTCTCTGCACGTCGAATTTCTCTGATTTTATTTTGACCCATACAATGGTCATGCTTGATCGTAAAATAATGTGGTTAATTAGACCGAGTACTGATAAATAATTAGGCCATTAGAATATAATCAACCTTACAAGAGTGTGATCTAGGGTCTTAATTCCAATTAATCGTTTACTAGTTCTTGTTTCTCGTTAAAATTTCACTTCGTTTACCAATTTTTTTTTATTTGCTTCAAGTATGAAAGTGAAATACATTTCTAGGTAGTTTGGCAGAATATAACTTGCTTTCCTAGACCATTTCTTATTACTCCTATGACATATCAAATCTATCCAAAGATTCTTGTGCCGCGCTAGGGATAAAATAGGTATAGATTTTGTCAATGCGACAACAGAAAATAGAGAGAGATCTATATGGTTGGCAAGTTACAATTACACCAATGGGAGATTTAATAATGCATTTTCGAATAGAATTATTGGGCAAGTTGAGAATCAAACAGTTGACCCACACTAAAGCTTCTGGATGATCAGTGAACGAGATAATAGAGTAAAAGCTGCACGGGGTAGCCATTTTTCGGACCGGTTTTAGAAAAAATTGTCAGTGATTGAAAATTTGTTGAAAAGTAGCCACTTTTAATTTGGAAACGTCAATGATAGTGTCATGGATTTTAAACATAAACAAGCGAAACATCCATGATAGTATCATGGATTTCGAACTTAAAAAAATGAAACTCCATAACAGTATTATGGTTTTAAGTTCGATATTACAAGTCTGGAAATTGGCTATTTTTTAACTTTACCCCAACTAGGCCTATATTGGCCCGCTATGCAGGGTTGTGGGCCGTATCAGAGATTGATTCTGTGTTAGTCATTGTCCTTCAGCATGGGCCGATTCCGTTATCTACTCCCAATAGCTGTGACTGTGAACATATATTTTAGTTAGTGCTTATTTTTTTCCTTGAAGAAGAAAGCACTATTTTCATACCTGAATTACAAGTACGAGGAATATGTATTCCTAAATCACAAGTGGGAGGAATTTTTATTTATTGAACCCAACAACTTAACAAGAAAGTATAGTATGAGAATGATAGGTTGAATTTCTGTTTCTGTTAATAAATAATGTTAGGGCAACAAACTCCAACTTTCATTCTAGGAAGTTTCGAACAGTCTTGACCCAACAATTTGATTTGTCTCAAGTAGAAAAGTCTTGCTGGCAAGCATAGAAGTCACAAAACAGATCAAGCTTTGATTCTTCCACCCATAAATAATTATATTTTGATAGGAATCAGTTAATTTCTTTCTTTCGGTGTAAGGGTGATTATATATTTTTATTTACCGTAAAACGGTACAGTTTAATTTGTTACGTAGTTTATAGACAAGCGAATTGATTTCATTCAAAAATAATAAATAAACAAGATTAAAAATAAGATTTGGCGGTTAAAATCAAAAGAAAATGACAAGCTTGGCTCCGAGAACAATGCCTCCGGAGACAGAAATAAGAACAATATATGAGCAACTATCGTAATTTTATTGAGCTTGAGAATGGAATAAGTTATGCCTAGGATTTCGTGTCTTACAATAGTTGTTGAGTCTACTATTTATACCTATACATAGGAAAACAAGATCTTAGATCAAGCCCCTCTTAAATTACAATAAAGAAGCACATCTTAATTGACAATAACGAGGCTCATCTTAAATGACAATAAAGGAGCCACTGATGAATATGTAATGGCAGACCATGAATGCTAATATTCACTGCAACGGCTGCCCATTTAATGTCAGGGAATATTTTTCATTGAATGTTATCCGATGGCAAGCATTTGATCTGCTCACATTGATCACGTTCCCTTCGGAGTCTATCTGATGTCAATTGCAATTGTTGCTCCCAGTACTGGTAATTACACGATTTGCTTTCTACCTGTCTTCGGTTCCACGTGTCACGCTAGCATTCGATCACTTAATGTAAACCAATTTGACCCTACACAATTTTTTCTTTGAAAACGTTTACTTCGAGCCGATGGTTTACCCAAAACAGTCTTTCGTTCTCGTAGTCTCATACTAGGTAGCGGTAAAGTATGCGCACATTCCACCCTCCCCAAACCCAGGTCACTTGTAAGATCTCACTGAGTATATTGTTGTTCTTGTTGTTTTTTCTTCTAATAGAAACAATGGAATCGCTGGTTAGTAACTACTAACTATCAGGAATCTAATCACAAAAAGTTCAATATTATACCATGTAATACCGGTCGATAGCTGGAATTTAAGTCTTTTACGCTGACTGTTTTAGAAAGATGCTCAGTGTATTTGACATACTTAAACATGTTATTCATGGCATTTTTGGAAAGAAACGTACAAATTCGTCTAAGCTAATATTCTCTAGATTTTAAATCTCCATAATATAATTTGACGTTGTTCTACTTCTTCTATGTCTTAATTTGAAAAATTCACGGTGTATATTGCTCTTCTGTCATGGCTTAGGTTTTTTAATTCATTTGGTCTTTAACCTGACTATTATATTAAAAAGGGAGGTTTAATATATCTCAAACGGAAGTTATCCAAATATGAAATCAAGTTGACTTTTTGAAGAATCTGAATATTGCTTAGAACGATAGAGGTTCAGCAAAAAAGAAATAACAAAAATAAAGTGATACATATTATTGTAGAAAAATAATAAAGATGTGGAATGTCGCCAAATATAAAGATACGAAATTCAATCTGGGACAAAGAAGGAGTAAATTTTAATTTCTTATTAAATCTTAGACATAATGAAATCAAGATACACCATGTTGCAATTTATTTTTATTCAAACATCTTAAAATATTCTTTGAAATATTTATTTTAAAAAAACATAATGTTTCATAGATAGATAGGGTGGTTCACAGGGGTGAAAGGTATTGTTGATAATATCCCTATTTTCCAATTAAAAGAAAAGGAGAAATTAATATCGAAGACAAACTTGTGTGGGTCGTTGTATCGTATGTACCCATGGGAGCAATATAATATGATTTGCCATAATGTCTAAGGTACAAGGAGTCATTTTATCGCAGGAAAATTTGTTGCGACACAATTCAATGCTTTTAAAGAGAATAATATACCAACACATTTCATCATCTTCTTGACATTAAATTCCAACTACACTACTACTTCCTATCTATCTAGTACTTTGAACACTAGTTTTTTTCCCCTGTTCAAAGCAGATTTACCTTTGGGTTTGTTA